TAGGTATTATCTTTGAATCTGCTTCAGATTCTAGTGAAAAATACTGTTATTTTCTCATTTGGCAACTTCAGAAAAAAAGGGAAACCCAGTCTTGTTCAAAAGGATGCTTGGATGATGATTCATTCTTTCATAACCATGAAATCTGATTATTGTAATGCTCTGTTTCCAGCTCTTCAGAATGCCACTGCTCACATGCTTACTAGAGCTATTAAAGATTTAAGCAATTTAAATCTTGTTCTTGGAACTTCAGTAGCTTCTATTTTCAGAAAAGCACCTGAAGTTCTCTTTGACATACTGGGACTTTTTTTGGAAAGGCATCATCAAATTCAACTCCCACAGAGAACCTGAAATACATGTTTGATGGCATTCTCATTTCAAATAAGTTCTTGCAAAACCATAATGTTGTTTTTGGAGCTAGATGCCAAACCTTTGGGAATTGGACTTTGTCAAACCACTAATATCATCTTCTGATGATGTTACAAGCTGCTAATGCTACCAGAGTTGATGTAATAGGCTTCCATAAGGCATTTGACTTTTTACCACATGACATCTTGATTAATACAGTAAAAAGGTAGAAAAGCAACACAACACATATTAAATGGATTAAAAACTGATTGAATGCTGGGTGTGTCTACATGTGCATTAATGTGTTTTAGTTAAAGCACATTACATCTAGTACCTCAGGGCACTTTTACATGTGCTCTAGGGGTGGGTGGGGGGTGCTTTAATTAGAGTGGTTCTGAGAACTTAAATGCTGATACATGAGACATTGCAGTGATTTAATTAGCGTGGTTCTCAGAACCACGCTAATTAAAGCACAGCAATGTCTCATGTATCAGCATCCCCACACTTGAGCTTTAATTCAAGTGCCCCCACCACCATTTTAAAGCACAGGGACACTAATACATGAGACACAGCGGCTGGCTGGAGTGTGCTTATTATCACACATTGGAGCAGTCTCGCAGCACATCTACAGGAACCCTCCATGGTGAGGAACTATGAAAATATTAATTAGCCCATCTTAATGCACATTAACTAAAGAACATGGGGTGCCTGTATATGAGCTGGAAGGTTGCTCCAACATGCTGTAATTATAGTGTCAGAGCAGACTCGATTAATCGAGTCTGCTTTAGCATGGTAATTACTGTACTCCAGCCCATCTCCATGTCTCATGCATGAGTAACCCTGTGCTTCAAAATGGTGGTGGGGGCATTTTATTTAAAGCTCATTCGATGAGCTTTAGATAAAACACCCCCATCACCATTTTGAAGCATGGGCATGCTTATACATGAAACACTCCAGAGCATGTGTAAAAATGCCCATGGTTTTTAACTGACACTTAATGCACATTATCCTATTTTAATGTCTATAAATTGAAGAGCATTTTTAAGTGACGCTTTAATGTACATTAAAATGGGGTAATGTGCATTATAGTGCACATGTAGATGCACCCAATAAATCTCAAAATCTAATTTCAAAGGGAAATTAATCCTCATCAAGATTCTGTGTTTCTTGCGGGGCCTCACTAGAAACACTTTTATCTATGACCTTAGTAAAAAAAAAAGAAAATCATTGCTGTTAAAGTAGATTATGGAAAGATTAGCAATTAATGAAGTTAATTTAGTACCATTTCATTCAGGGATTTTGATCTAGTTTAGTTTTCATTTACTGTAGGTGACTGCAGGCGTGTGAACAGTTATTGTTGGCTATCTGTTCTGTGATAAATCCCCACACACCGTCAATTCACTTTATTTGATTGATTGCCCATACCCCAAGCCCTGTGCCATAATCACAAAGCTGTACTGTCTTTGGGCCCTCATCCTTAAGCTCTTTCTGCATTCCTCCCTTTCTCTCTAACATTATTCTCTCTCCTCTCTCTCTGGTGCTTCCCAATTCAAACAAACTCTTTAGAGGCATGCAGTTATAGTAGGAAGCCATATTTCCTTGCTTCTGAGCATATGTTGGGAGCCATTGTGCTAGTCTAATGGAGGCAAATGCACCCCTACCTCTTTACAATTGTAATTAATGCTCCACTTCCTACATGCTTAGAAAAGAGTGGGCATGTCTAAGTGCATTTACGCTGGCTTAAATTTAGTGAGAATAGGCTGGTGTCTACACATGCAGGTGCTAAAGTGCATTAACGCTAAAGTTAGTCCCAAGTCAGTCCAGGTGTAAGGTGTTACTGTAAGGTGTCTACACATGTGTTATGGCTCAGTAACTAATTGGGCGTAAATTTGATACCTGCATGGTGCAGGTATTACATTTATGCTCAAGTCAGTGTAAATCACCATATTTACTGCATAGTACAGATGTGCATGTGTACATGTGCACCTGTACTATGTAGTTATTTCAGTTACTTCACAGCAAATGTGCATGTGTCAATGCACCCAGTGAGTTTCAGTTATAGGAAGGGATTTAGTTGCATATGCATGATTAGAGGAATGGGATCTTACAAGAATTCTCATAGAGTCCTGTAGGGAAGAGAGATCCCAGAAATATTGCCTTCTGATCCTGAGATGCCCCTGTGCTTGGAAGGCATCATAGTCATTTTCAAATGTCCGTCAGACTCTAGCCACCACTATTCATCCTAACATTTCACAGGCACAAAATTCCCCAGTAAAATGTCAAATGCATCAATAGAAAAAGAGGTTTTACAATAAGGGTGTCACAGGATTCATGAAAATAAAGATGGGTGCTTTTAAAAAATAATATATAACATTATTTTCAGTAACTACCTGCTCTTTAAGAAGACATTTAAAAGTTTTATTTCATTGACATAATCTTTTAAATAGGCTGTGGAGATTTATTTTTTGCCTGATATCCCATCTATAATATTGTGTATGCATTTCTTTCAGTATGAGTAATTAATTTGGAAGCCTTTGCATTGATTTAAACAGAATTTGGATCAGGCCCTGGGTCTCAATTTTTCTTGCTTGATATAGAGGGGGGTTTTAATCTAGGAAAAGGAAATAAAACATGTGTCACAACAAATCAAGTCCTATTTGGCTTCTTGTGCTGTCAAAGAGGTTATCTGTCCCTTTCTACTTTTTAGAGTATTTTAGGGCAATAAAAATAAACAGCCCATATATCTATAACCTTTATTGTTTCCTTTGTGTTTACACACATCTGCTTTAACCTTTGTACTCCATTATGACTATTTGTAGAATGGATTACTGTAAATTTGCATTATGTTAAAAAAATTGTCAAAAGACATGCGTGTGTGTTATTCTGTGGCCTCATGTGTCTTTCTTCTCCACTAAAATATCAAAGGACATTTATAGACTTTTTGAGTGACTCATTAAAAAATCCTGCCCCAAAGTCTGCAAGCTAAGGATACTATCATAGGATTAATTCTGCTGTGCTATTTATTCCTGGTAAAGTTTGGAAAAATGATGGTGAGGCTTGTTTCCTAAAAACTGTGCTTCTACCCCTTCAAATGCTTATCCCAGATGTGAAACCCTATTAATGCATTGCGTGTGTGTCCTTCACCCACTGCTTCTGTCCTTGACTTAGTGAAATAAGACCATAAAAAATAGTCATAGAGAAGCAGGGCTGGAAGGGACACCCAGAGGTCATCTAATCCAACCCCCATCTTGAGGCAAGATCATTTCTGTCAAAACCATCCCATGCAATGCTTACAACCTTATCCATGAATAGCGGAATAAGCCTGAATGCCTACATTTACCTGCTCAGCTGAGTTGCATGTGCTGTTGCTTGACAGTGGGGATGGGACTGAACATATCTGGGTTCTTTCTGTTCCTGGTTCTTCTATGGAACCCAAGGGTGACATTGGGCAAATCAGTTCCCCTCTCTGTGGTTCAGTTGTAAAAGTGAGGATGATGCTGATCCTAAATTTCCTTTGTAAGGCCCTTTGGACTCTAATGTTGAAAAGCAATGGACAAGAGCCAGCTGTTACTGTTTGCCTCTCTTGCTCTCAGTGGGCTAGAGGGGTGTGCGTGTGTGTGCCTGACAAGTAGTGTGTGGGTGTGTGCTTGTCAAGTGTGTATGTGTCAAGAAATGTGTGTTTGTGCATGCACCTATCAAGAAGTGTGTGCATGTGTGTGTGTCTGTGCTTGTCAAGGGTATGTGTGTGTGAGTGTGCCTGTCAAGTGTGTGTGTCCACGCTTGTGTGTGTGTATGAGTGTGCATGTCAATTGTGTGTCTGTCAAGAAATGTGTGTAAGAGTATGCTTGTCAGGTGTCTGCATGCACGTGTGCTTGTCAAGAAGTATATGTGTTTGTGCTTGTCAAGGATATGTGTGTATGAGTCAAGTGTGTGTGTGTGCATGTGCATCAAGAAATGTGTGTGTGTGGTTATCAATCATGTGTGTGTGCATGTCAAGAAATGTGTGCGTGCACCTGTCAAGAAATGTGTGTGTGTGTGCTTGTCAAGCGTGTGTGTGTGCACGTCAAGAAATGTGTGTGTGCTTGTCAAAGGTATGTGTATGTGAGTGTGCCTGTCAAGCTTGTGTCCCTGCTTCTGTGTGTGTATGAGTGCATGTGTCGTGTGGGTGCGTGTGTCTGTCAAGAAATGTGCGTAAGAGTGTGCTTGTCAAGTGTATGTGCACATGTGGTTGTCAAGAAGTGTGTGAGTGTGTGCGTGCTTGTCAAGGATATGCGTGTGCGAGTGTGCTTAAGTATGTGTGCGTGTGTCCATGTGTGCCAAGAAATGTGTGTGCGCGCTTGTCAAGTGTATATGTGCTTGTCAAGAAATGTGTGGGTGTGCGTGTGTGAGCGTGCTTGTCAAGAGTGTGAGTGCGCCCTGTTAGGACGCCTGGGCGGAGAAGGCGGCGCGGGGCGGCATCCCCTGGGGCTGGCCCACGTCCAAGGCCGGGCTGGGCGGCGGCGCTGCGGCGCTCCCCGGCCCGGGTGCCTGGACTCG